TTTTTTTTTTACTTCGACTCCAAAAAAAATTTGCATGAAATTTAAATAAATAATAAAAAGCTTTTTGTAAAATGAAGCATTCGGGGAATTGTGGGACACTATTTTTTTAGAAGTATGCAGGTACATAATATTAAAATCACATATAGCTAAAATAGTAATTTAATTGAAACAATTCTATTCATTGCCATGTATGAGATAGAGCTGTTGTAAAACTGTTGTAAAATTGTTTTTTAGACTTTTTTATTGTGCTCGCCGAGCACAATTCAGCAAAAAATTTTATTTTTTCAAAATTTTGATTTTTGAAAAATATTCAAAAAATTTTAGACTCAAAAAATATGATTTTCTTGAATAATTATTAACTTTTTCAAAAACTGTTAATACTTTTTTTATTGTGCTCGCTGAGAACAATTCAGCACAAATTTTATTTTTTCAAAATTTTGATTTTTGAAAAATGTCCAAAAAATTATTGAAGTATAATAAGAAATTTTTTTTTAATTTTTAAAAAGTATTTTAATTTTTTCCTAGCACAATATTCGTTATCGTTTTCTAAGTGTTTTCGTGTAATTTTCGTTTTTTAGTTTTATCCAAATTTTGTTGAGAAAAAATCAAATGGCGTTGCCAACTTCTTGGACATACGTACGTGAGCGCGTCAGTCTCAACGGGGCGCCATAGACTTTTTCGTTGATTTCTCGAAAAGTTATCGCGATCCCATTATAAAACTTTTACGAAAATTTTCTTATTACTTTTAGCTATCACTATAAAAGAAATAAAAAAAATCGGAGGGGGGGGGTGTTTTTCAAAAAAATAAAAAAAAAAATTTTTTGAAAAATTTTGAATAATTTAAAAAAATTTTTTTTTTCTAAAAAATTTATCTAAAAAGTACTAGTTATACTGAGAAATTAAAAAAAAAGAAATTTTGAAAAAATATTGAAAACAACCGGAGTTATCTTAATTTTAAAAAATTAGTAGGGGAGGATGGGGCAAGGATAGTTAGGTAAGACCTTTTCGGATCTAGCGGCCAAATTTGATTATGTATCTGCAAATGAAAAGTATTTTTGGAAAGCCTGGTTATTTGGCTATAATTTTGCTGTACCCAGTAAAAAAAAACTAATTCAAATGAATTGAAACGAATTAACATTTTTGGTAGGCTCCAATTCGTATTTGTCACAAAGCGGGATTCACTCAAGCTCTTTGTATATTCAATTGAATTTAATTCAATATGTACCAATTTGTCCAAACGAATTCGCATTCGAAAGAAATGGCCAAGGAATGCATTGAATTCGTGCTAACGAATTGAAAAAAATTAAAGGCTCAAAACTTGTCCAGTGAATTGGTACGGATAGAAGGTTCGGAAGTTCAATACAGTTTCACGAATTCAGGAAAATTGCATCATGGCTCCAATTCGTATTTGTCACAAAGCGGGATTCACGAAAGCTCTTTGTGAATTCTTTTTAATTCATTTCAATTAGTTTTCGTTTACTGGGTACATTATTTTACTGTAGACTCAAATCCCTACGAGATATGAATGAAAAAGTAAACAAAAATTTTTAACTATCCTTGCCCCAGTACCGGGGCAAGGATAGTTAAAAGAATTCGAATGCCAAAAATGTTATAGAAAATCAGTAAATTTTTGTTTTTTTTTATTTTACTGGTTTTAGACTATTCAATATTGATATCCCAAGTATTAAAAATATGTATGGAACATTTTCTGAATTGCAATTATTATATTAAAATTCATCTGAACTAGAATCAGAAGTTTAAACAATTTTTTTCAGACGACCACCAATTTCTTGGTCATAAGCTTCGTTTTCCGTATATAATTACGCACCATTATGTATATCAATCTAAAAAGAACAATTAAACACTTTTTTAAAATTTTCAATGGTATTAACACGCTTTTACCGTGCCGTATTATCTCTAACTATCCTTGCCCCATGAGTCCATATTTCAGTTTTTTCTAAATTTTAAGGAACGACGTGAATTAATTTGAAAATAAGTACGATATTCGTGTTCAGCAGGAAATTCCACTCCGAAAAACATTTTACGTAAAAAATATTCTGAAATTCTAATGTAGAAAACAATATGATAAACATTACGTTGACATTTTAGCAAAACAGACTTTTTTCAAAAATAATCTCCCAACTTCGCAAATGGCGACAGATTGACTTGCAATTTTTACAATCATCTTTTGGTGTTAAAACGCGAATATACTATGAATTACGCGATTTTTGAGCAAGCCGTCTAAGCATAACAGCAACTAACTATCCTTGCCCCTTAACTATCCTTGCCCCATCCTCCCCTACATAAATTTTCAAATTTGAATATTTTCAAAATTTTTTCGAAATTTTTAAAATCGTCTTCACTTTATCATATCTTATCATTATAGCTACAAGGAAAAAATTTTTTAAGAAAATTGCTAACAATATCCAAAAATCGTCGATCACTTCACATGGAATTGCTCTTTATTATTATTTTAATATTATTTATCATTATTAAGTCATTTTGCAATTATTATTACATGAAAAATGTAAAAGTTGAATAAAAAATTGTTCTTTAAAAAATATCAAAAAAATTAAGCCTGATAGTTAGCTATTCAGCGCAACATACGCATACGCATAAAGATGTTGAATATTTTATTTAAACTATCAACCGTTGCGAATTACTGGAATATAATTTTTTTACGTAGAATTGTATAAATATTTATTTTAAAAAAGTAACTCTTTATTTTGTCAATGATATTTATTTCTTAATTAATTTTTTATAAATATTTATTTATAAAACGTCAAATTTTCTAAAATACTTAACATACGGCTCGTCGGATGCGGATTTTGTAATTCTTTACAGTAGAAAATTCAGAAGTGCGTTAATTTTATTTTGTTGTAAAATATTTCAATGTTAATAATTTTGATAAATTAATTTATTAATAATTCAAAAACAAATAAACGTCATTTTTCCTATTCATACTTACCCAAAATCTTCAACACCCTACCTCCTCTTCAATTTTGTATAAAAAAATCATAATACTTGGTGGTTAAAGTACTCATTCATAGCACTAAATACTGTGAAAATATTAGTCCGATCCCGGAACTTTAAATTTTGACATTGGTACGCTTGAGAAAATTTGCCTTATTTACATGTATTTTTAAAATAAGATCAGGTACGATTTCGGGGCTTGAAAATTCAGAAACTACACGGAGAGAAAAAAAAGAGAGCCGTTTGATTTGGCAAGAGAGCGCTGTTTTCCCTTTATAAAGCACAGCAGTAGCGCCGCAAACGTCGAACGGTTATACTTTTTGAGGAATATCGGTTATCTTCTCCACACAAATAGAGCCGCTTACTTTCCAAAAAGTGTACCCGCTTTCAGGTAGAGCCGTTTACTTTTTTTTCTCTCCATGTAAAGGTCATGTGGGAAAACTCTACGTTGGAAAATCTACCATCCATTTTCAAAAACCCTGATTTTGTTTCAAGAGCACTGTGGTGTCCTGTGCCATATTTTCGAATATACATTCTTTATTAATTGAGAAACCACGCTCGACATTAGCATTGCCATGATACAAGATTAGTATCGTTTGGATGACAATTTTAAGTTCATTACAGTCTTCATCAAAATTTCTAATTTAATATTATAATTGAATTTATCACTTGGTGAAATTATATTAATATATATAAGAAGTTATCAATCCTCCAAGTCAATATTGATTGACTTGGAGGATTGATAACTTCTTATATATATTAATAAATTTTCTAATCTGTTGAATCCAAAAATGATCAACGCGCTCTTGACTCCTTCGAAATTTCTTGGAAGATTCAACTACTGCTGATGATGAGCAAAGTTTTGTATACTGTCGAAGCGCTTTTTCCGAGCATATACAATCAATCCAATTGTTATATCATTTAAAATTTGTAGTAATCTGCGAAATCTTTTTCTTTCCACCTTGCTAATGGGAATTTCAGGACTTAAAGAGCTAGTTGCTTCCGTTAATTTGTATTTTAATGGGGACCGCTCCATTAATTTAGTTACAAATTTTTGTAAACATTTTTTACAATCACGGCGGAAGGTAACAATATCTAATTGAGACATATTTTTACATTTTTTAAATTCCTTAGTTACTTCAAAACCAATTTCAATATCACTAAATTTAAGAAGATTCTCTTCATTTATAAAATCAACATCTGGATTAACGCATGGTTTTACAAAACGTTCCAGAATTGATCGAAGCGACGCATTTAGAGCAGAATACAGGAAAGGTATTAAGGGCCAATCAGATTAAAATTTGCGCAAAAATGGCTCTACATCAAATGCCAATGTCTTAAAAAACGCCAACTTTGGACCAAGCAGAGGATCTTGTACGAATTCTTTAACTAATTTATAACTAGCAGACGTTGGTTTTGTTTTATATTCTTCTGCTTTTTTCACAAATTTTCGAAAAAAAGGAATCATTTCTAAAGCCCTTTCGGCAACATCAGCGTTTTCTAACCAGCGGGTTGAACCAAACTTTGAAGGAAATAGATCCGAATCTGTATATTCAACGTATAAAGCACATCGCGAAGGGATATCTTTAAATAAATTATAGAGGTTTCGTAAAAAGGAAACAATATTCCAATCAGTATCTTTTATCTCGTTTTTAAAACTATTGCAACACACATGAAGACCACAGCTCCCTATATCAAGTAACGTTGTCGAGTTTTCTGGTGTTTTGAGACACGTCTTGAGGTCTTTTAAATATTTTATATTGACGTTAGGTCCGTCCATTGAAACTTGAATCATTTTTTCAATAGAAACAATGTCAAAAGAGCTTTAAAAAGCTTCCAAAAAATCAACAGCTCTACTTCTGCCAAGGAATGCAGAAGTATAATATCTCGTACATACATCATTTTTCACTGGATCCCAAAATCTTAAGTTGATGTCCATTTGTTGTTTTTTGCATACTTTGTTTAACGCTTCATCAAAGTCTGCGACGAATCGGGAACATTGACTCACAATAGAGATAAGATCTTGATTAAAATAGGGTGCCAATCCATACTGTACAGTATAGAAACATTTTTTTCAGAATGGATACATCGTTGCCTATAGATCTGAAGGATTTGTGCTCTACTACGCACTGTAGACACCATAGTATTTCTGATCTTGTTACATTATCTTGAACAAGGTACATGTTCACTCCCCGAGATTTTGGCTGTTCGTTTTTCGAAGTCAATAAGTCCTAAAAAATTACAAAATAAATTTAGAATGATATAATTTTGGTGTTTATAATTATTGTAACTTTAAAAGAAATAAAAATTACAAAACAAATTTTTGCCAAATTTAATAAAAATTCGATAATTTGAAACTATTTACTAAACTCGTCTTAAGAGAAGAAACAGAATGATCCGGAATTGCTTTATCTGAGATGTTCCACAGTGCATTCTGCTTTATTAGAATTTTATCAGATTTTACTGGTTGAGAATTATTCTGTAAATTAAATTATAAAAATAAATTTTTAAATTAATAGTTTTAAAGGCTAGCTTAGATTAATTAATATTTATACACTACTGTCCACGAGTATCAGGACACGGAGAGAAATTTCTGCTAATATTTTCTCTCCGTGGACGATTACACGCGACTGTATATAAAAACACGCCATCACTTTTCAATCATGTCTCGTAAATAAAAGGAGATACAAAAAAATCTTAAATACTTAAATTTTTCACTCTACAACTCAAGAAATAGTTAACGAAATGACTTCAAAGACAGCTTATTTTACGCAAAATTTAATCAGCTTTCTAACCGTATTTAAGTTTTTTTTTGTACCTCCTCTTATTTCCGAGATATGATTGAAAAAGTTAAGGCATGTTTTTCCACAGAGTCGCTTGTAATCGTCCTGATACTCGTGGACGGTAGTGTAAATATCTAATAGGTAATAATTTAATAAATAAATTAAGTAATAATTAATAAATTACTAATATCTAAAATTAGATTAATATTTGATTCTAACGATTTTTGCAGTTGACTCTAGAACAATTGATTCAGAGTGTAATGTAGATTCCTTGGAGAGTAATGAAGAAGCATCTACTATTTTAGCTTGAGCAGCTATTAAAGCCATGCGTTTTTGACTTTTTACGTGGCTAGTTAAGTCTTGAACACCCATGCTCGAAATGTTTATTTCTTTCATGCATAAGGTACATTTTGCTTTATTAGCATTATTTGCAACTCTTTGCACCCAGCCTTTGAGTTGTGGTTTAGCTAACCAAGCATCTTGGAATGTGCTTTGGGATGGAATCCGACTTCGTTTCATTTTCGAGAGTTCATCAAATTGACATACCTATATATAAGAAATAAAATTAATAGCTATTTCAATAACACTATTAGTAAACAAACAAATATAAGGTCATGTTTTTCAGTTGCTACGTGTATAATACTGAAGTATATGAGGCACGAGACCATAGAATAACATCCTCTTAAATAAATTAGTATCTATAAATTAGGTTTTTATTTTTAAATCAAGGTTAAAACTTTTAATTTTTGTTTTAGAAACTATGTAAAAACCAAACATTATTTTTCAATCTTTATGAAATTTTTCCGTTTTCATAACATTAGACTTTTTTACAATAAATAATATAGAAATAATTTCTCTAAAAAAAAGTAAAGTGAAATTTAACACACACAATCGAACCTTGATAAGTGAGAACTGGATAACTGAGAAACCTCTATAAGTGAGAATAATTTTCTGGTCCCTTCATTTTTACATGTAAAATCCTGTATAAGTGAGAATCATTTTTCTCGATTAGACCTCTATAAGTGAGAGAAGCGTTTCTCGAATCTCTATAGCTGAGAATGATTTTCTTAATGAGACCTATATATAAGTGAGAAAAGCGCCTCTCAGACCTCTATAAGTGAGAATCTTTTCTATGTTATACTTTTCTAAATATGAATAGAAATTTGTAAGCAGTGATTAAAATTTGAATAGACATGTTAGAACAAATGGCTTTTTTCGACGAATATTGATAAATCAGCATTTGAAAAAATTTACGAGCTTGAAAATGACAAATATCAAATTTCTGATGACGTAAAAGTGAAATTTTAATTAACAAAACCTTTATAAATCTCTATTAGTAAAAAAGCAGCACTTGTCAGTCAGAACCTCTGATAGTGAGAAACCTCTATAAGTGAGAAAAATTTCTTGGTCCCTTAGATTCTCACTTATCAAGGTTCGACTGTATTTTTAAATAAGCTACGCAGGTTTTTAAACATGTTACTACGAAAAAATAATATTTTCATTGAAATATTCATTGATAATTTTTAGGTTATAAAAAATAAAAGTAAATTTTGCTAAGAATTTTATCTAAAAAATGAGGAGTATATTCGAGACAGTCAAAACCTTCAGTATAATTCATGTAAGAAAATTATATGTGTACGTCCACATGAAAAGGGCCCATTTTGTCGGTTCTAGTTTTCGAGATAATCGCAATTTAGTAATTTTGGAGCAAAACCTTAATTTTTTTTTTATTTTTTATTATCAATGTACATGTTTTGACAAGTTGAATCATGCGGTTTTCATTAATTTATCGATAATTTAACTGTTTGATTTCATTGGTTTGATTTTCATTGGTTTTCTTTAGAAAAAAGAAAAGGGCCCATTTTGTCGATCATTTGCAAAAGTAATCAGTATTTTAAAAATTGAGGTATGGGAAAATTTAAAACCTCTTGATTTTTCATCTTTAAGGTGCCCTGGACTATAAGGAATTCTTATCTGAATAACTTACCAGAAAAACCAGAGATATTGATGTTAGAGTCTTTGTTTTTGTAGTCGTAGAAGTGAAAATTTAGATATTTCGTGAAATTTTTCGTAATAGAGACTGTTAAAAAATTTTATATAAGTTTAATTTCTATTCTTTTTCTTTAAATTCAGGGTGTCTAGCGAATTATGATTTTCAAATTCCCGGCAAAATCCCGGTTTTCCCGGACCTAAAACTAAATTATTCCCGGATTTATTTTTAAGACATTAATGACTATACAATTAAAATTTCATAATTTTTTAAATACAGTGGAAACTGAATTATACGAACTAATTCAGGCAGGATCTGGTTCAGATAATCAAAAGTTCAAATAATAGAAATTGCAATTATTTTTTTTATATTTGTGGATAAATGATTATTTTTGAATTATTTTGCAATACCCAATGGCATTTATGTCTTCTTTTAGATATTTACATTAAAAGTCACTGAGGTTCAACTGCAATAAGTTAAAAATATTAGGATTTATAATTAAACTTTTAATTGAAGTCTTTAAAATGTTAAAAATGTATGCAACAATTATATAAATAATAATAATATACGGTCAATTCTACGTCACAAGTATATTTTATTTATAGTATATGGAGTGTATAACTCCTTTTTCATTTTAAGCCAAGTATAATAAAGTAAAGAAAAGTAAAGATTTCCTTCTTCTTCTTCTTCTTCTTTACTTTATATTTTATTTATTCCTTTTAGAAAAAAGGTATACGTATCCTTTATTTTTCTATTCTATAGGGGGACCAAAATATTTTTTGCAAACTATCCTTATTATTTGTAAGTATGTATTAGATACTCTCTAAATCTGAATATGTGAAAATTCACATATTTGTACGTTATAAGTCGTCTTCTCGATCAATAAGTGCATATACACTTATAATAAGTGAAATTTCACTCAGAATAAGTGAAAAATTCACTTATTTATAAGTGTATATGCACTTATTGATCGAGAGGACGACTTATAACGTACAATAAGTGAAATTTCACATATTCAGATTTAGAGAGTAAGTTTTCTAAATTCAATAGTTTTAGAGTTATAGATTTTAGAGTCTATTTTTAAAAATCCAAAAATTTGGTTACCTATAAAAAATGAAAAAATATATTTACAATAATATATTTTCATCCTAATTGAAAATGTGGACTGAAATTTAACGTGAAATTTCCTATATACTTATAATATATCTTTTTTTCATTTTTGAAAAATATAAGACTGAAGGTAGTTCTCTGGCTTCTACTCTTGTAAAAATTTATTTTCTTCAAATTTTGAGGAAATGTTTCTTTTGGTGCCCTTTAAATGTGGTAAAAATTTCAAAACCCTTTGCGATGCTAAATTTTGACTTATTCAAGTTCAAACTTTCACTTTTCCATGCGTTTATGTTAAAAATAAAAAATGTCAACCACAATATCTCGTTTTTTGACATGGCAAAAGGTTTTGAAGTTTCTATCACATTTAAAAGGCATCCGAAGAAATATTTCCTCAAAATTTGAAGAAAATCTATCGAAAATCAATTTTTAAAAGAGTAGCAGCCGGAGAACTACCTTAAATTGAAATTTTTTTTATAGATTTTAATGAATTAGAGAAAATTTCCAAAAATTCCCGGATATTTTTTTCAATTCCCGGCAATTTCCCGGGTTTTTCCCGGTCGAACTAAATTCCCGGCAAATTCCCGGTTTTCCCGTTTTTCCCGGACGCTAGACACCCTGATTTAAATGACCGCAATAAATTTATACCCAATCGTTAACCTTGTAAAAAATGGTTTATAATTAAAAAAACCTCCTTTTTAGAAAAGGGCCCATTTTATTGAATTTTCGTATTTTTCAAAATGGAGGAGGGGGGTTGGTTTTAAAAATTTAAAACCTATTGATTTTTCATCTTTAAGGTGCTCTGGACTGGAAACAATTCTTATCTAAATAACTTCCCAGAAGAACCAGAGATATCACCATCAATTGGTATCACAATCTTTAATTTCGTTTTACTCGAAATGAGGTTTTGGCATTCTAAACTTTGAAATTCTGTAACTCATCGAATTTTTCACCAAAAAAGTTCTATGATCACTTAAAATTTTCCAAATTTTGCAAGGAATTCGCCCATGTAGATAAGTCCAATAGTGCCAATAGCCCTTTTCATGTGGACGTCCACATATGAACACTATTAATTGAAAAATGTATTAGAAATTAAATAACTTACCACAATTGTATTTTTCATGCCGCAACAAATTTCAACACAATTTTCAATTTTGGTTAAAGATTACTTTACTGAAATATTTTAAGGTTAAAACGCATGAATCGGTAAGACATCGTAAAAGAGTTTTACAAATTTTGATTGGCTTTTCCACAGAGAATTTCAAATCTTCATAATTTTCAGAAATTTTCTATTATTATAATCAATCAAAAGTGAAGACCCTGCAGTATAGGAGATAGTCTCAAACTTTATATAACCGCGCGAATTTTAAAATTAACACATTATATTCGACAATAATCATTAGCAACTAGCTTTTGAAATAAAAAAAAATTTAATAGAAACTGTTCTGAAGTACTTTCAGAAAGTAAAGTTACCATACATATGCATAATTAAATTTGCTGTCTTCATTTACTAAACTTTTTCATTATATTACTATTTGTATTAGTAATAATGTTTTTATGATTACTAAATTTCAAAAATTTATTGGGTCAATATGAAGACAAACTACATTAATTAATTTCATATTATTTATCAATTGAAGGGCTGGCTGCAATAAGGGGACGAACGCGAGACTTGGAAGGGATACTACCAGTCAGGTAGCAGTGACAAGCCTTGAGCCGCTCACTGCTACCTGACTGGTACTAGGTAATGTCACATTGAGTGGACCACTGTTTATAACCATGAGTGGACTGCCTGTTTTTTATATTTTTAATGTCAGTTTACAATTTTTATGGAAATAAATTGACAATAAAATGGTTTGAAACTATGTTTTATGTTCTTTATTAATTTTTTGTGATTTTGATGTGATATGTGCCAAAATTATTAAAAATGGTTTCACTTGTAAACATTGCGACGCAATCATGGTCATAAATTTGGTTTTAATATATCAGAAATATTAAATACATTAAAGAATTTAGAATAACTTTTACAATTTTTAGGAGTGGTCCACTCAAGGTTACACTTTTTTCATTCCTAAAAAATTAGCAATTTTTTTAAAGTCAATTGTTTTTTCCAAATAAAAAAAAATCAAAGATATTATGGTATAAACACTTATCTAGGGATCTTAACTAAAGCTTGGAATAGAAACCTCCGATTAATTTGCTTTCATAAAGAATTTTTTAGAAAAAAAGCTTAGGCGGTCCACTCAAGGTGACATTACCCTATCCCTTTCAACCACGCGTTCGTGGCTATAAGGATAAGATATGATAAAGTGAAGACGATTTTGAAAATTTCGAAAAAATTTTGAAAATATTCAAATTTGAAAATTTATGTACTAATTTTTTAAAATTAAACTGTAAAAACAAAGTCTTCCTTTAAGCCCGAAATTTGTCTTTTTTCAAGGTGTCAACGGAAGTAGACCATGTTGGCTGAATGTCAGTAATGATTAGAAGTTTAAAAAGAATACTCCCCAATTGATACAAGTTAGGTGTTAAATGAACTGAAATTCAACTGTAAGCTAGTAAGAAGGCTAAAATTTAGCCAAACCATCTAGCTAAATTTCAGCCTTCTTACAAGCTTACAGTTGAATTTCAGTTTATTTAACACCTTACTTCCCACATAGCACAATAATTTTCTGCAAATTTGCGGCAAGTTTTCAAAGCCAAATTTGAAAACTTGACTGGCAAATTTGCAGCAAACTTGCGGTAAATACCAAAATGTCCGTTTGGTGGCAAGTTTGCAGAGCAAATTTGCAGAAAACTTGCGTGGCAAACTTGCAGATAATTTTGTAGTAAACTTGAGGAAAATTTGCAGCAAACTTTCAAAAAACCTAAAAATTTCAAAAAAAATCTTTTTGTAGTCAAAATGTAAGTATTTTGATAAACGTTGCCTTCCCTAATAGGGAAGGTGACATAAATGTAGTGCGCAGCTCTAGATGTCATAGAAAACTACTGCGCATGCATTTAACATTTACTTTGCCATGCAAATTTTCTGCAAATTTGCTCTGCAAACTTGCCACCAAACGGACATTTTGGTATTTACCGCAAGTTTGCTGCAAATTTGCCAGGCAAGTTTTCGAATTTGGCTTTGAAAACTTGCCGCAAATTTGCAGAAAATGATTTTGCTATGTGGGTTGTATCAATTGGGGAGTCTTCCGTTTACACCTTGAAAAAAGACAAATTTCGAGCTTAAAGGCGGTGTGAAAGTCGATGTGATTTTTCCATTGAAGCTCAATGCAAAAATCCAATCGACTTTGACACCGCCTTAAAGAAAGACTTTGTTTTTACAGTGTATGTTCATATTCTTGAATTTTATTAAAATAAACATATGTCACATTTAATTTCTTATAACAAACAACAATTATTAAAAATAATAAATAATGGAAATTTAATAAATAAATAGTGGAAATTTCTTTATTTAATAAATAGTGGAAATTTCTCTCTTTAAGATAAAGAATTAAATGCTAATGCACATATATATTAGGTGAAATTAAAATTATAAAATGTTTATAAATTTGTTTATAATCGAATTAAAATATTAACATAAGGGAAGTGTTCCGGTTGTGGGCACCCTTTTGTTTTTGCCTCATAACATTTGTCCATGTGCACATTATACAAATGTACATATGTGTACGAATTTAAAGCTAGAGGTCTAAGGTGACTGTCAGTAAAGGAATTAAATTGATTCCTTTAAATAAAAAAGTTTTATTAGAAATTTAGTGAAATGGAAATTTTTTGACAAAAAATTTTTTGTACCCGGTTGTGGGCACCCTTGAAAAATCCGCTAAAAATGAAAAAATATTAAAGGAAACCAAAACAAATAAAGAAGAAATGAAAGTTTCTTTATTTTAAGAGACTTTGCCGGGATAAAGAACAAAAATGATGACACGTTTTCACACTATGCTCATCGCTAACAAAAGCATAATGCTTGCATGTGAAGTAGCTAGTACACAAACCATAACGCACTTCTAATGCACTGAACGACTATATTCATCGCATTTAATGGAGTTTGTGGCTGTCACTTTCCTTGGCAGAAAGTTTAGATAGATGAGACAGTAGTCCACATCATTGTCAGATGGTAGAGCCTCCTTAACATAAAGGTGCCCACAATCAGGAATGACAGTCATTTTTTAAAAAGATCAACACATTTTGTGATGCAGGATTTTGGTTAAACACGAAGGTATATCGCAAAATATAATAACAACACTGCAAAAAAAAATTAAACCCTTTTTTTCTGAACGAATCTACACCCATATGTTGCTCTTCGAAAACAATACAAAATTACTTTTTTATTTATTTAATGCAAATTTTCTTTATTATGCTCACAGCTATTACACAAATGCATATATTTGTTTCGTTATCAATACGAAAAGTCCGTATTGTCAACGAACACGACTTGCAATACTTAGATCAGTAAAATCTGCTTGCTGTCAAAGTTTACGTAGGGGTGCCCACAACCGGTGCACTTCCCTTACTAATAAAACTAAACTTTCTGTCCAAGATTCACCAATTATAAATATAATTTATGGACTTATATATTATTAATAAAACACGAGTCAAAAGTAAACCGGCGACGCGACGCGCTATTCAGACTTTTCACGTTTGCAAATCGCTGGGTTAGTGGAAAAAAAGGACACCTCGAATTTTAGTTCAAGAAGAGAACACCTCGCTTTTTAGTTGAAGAAAAGGACACCTCGAAAATATTAATTTTAAATGCATTTTTGTTTGACGATAATATGTGTAAAGTAATTGATTTATGATATTTTGTGCTCAAAAAACTATGAAGATAATATGTTCTTAAATCTTCTATTACAAAAACTTGAAAAACAATTACATTACACAAAGTATCGCCAAACGAAAGTTGATGTAAAATGAATATTTTCGACGTGTCCTTTTCTTCAGCTAAAATGCGAGGTGTCCTCTTTTTCAAACATAATTCAAGGTGTCCTTTTTTTCCACTAACCCATCGAAATTGCGTCCCTTGTGACGTCACAATCAACTTTTTTAGCCTCGCCAGACTTACAGTCAGCTGTTAGCGTACCTTATTAGAAGTTAATTTCATCTAACTTTTTATTAATACCATTGGATCTGAAATTAAGTCCGGTGTATTACAAATAAATTACAAACTGAGTTTTATTTAAGTAAGAGTACAACTAACTTTAATTTTCAGTTAGTTTTTATAATTAAATAAAGTTGATAGCTTAAGATAAGTCAAAAATTAAAACTAGCCACCATTAAATTTAAGACTTTGTTTTTACTGTGTAAGATAACTCCGGTTGTTTTCAATATTTTTTCAAATTTTTTTTTAATTTCTCAGTATAACTAGTATTTTTTAGATAAATTTTTTAGAAAAAAATTTTTTTAGAAATTATTAAAAAAATTTTTTTTAATTTTTTGAAAAACACCCCCCCCCTCCGATTTTTTTTATTTTTTTTAATATTGATAGCCAAAAGTAATAAGAAAATTTTCGTAAAAGTTTTATAATGGGATCGTGATAACTTTTCGAGAAATCAACGAAAAAGTCTATGGCGCCCCGTTAGGCCAGTCAATGAAGACAAAAAGTGCACAAAAATACAAACAGCAAAGTCTAAACGGTTTCTGGTAGTTTGGGGGCTCCTTATAAGAGCCCCACAGTTTGCTCTCGATTTCCGGGTGCGAAAAAGAGTGTAAACAATCGCCAAAGTATGGAAAACATGGTTTTTCGATGCTCGTTGCTTCCGGTTAAGTTTTAGGGGAAAAAGTTGTTATTGAAAGTTATAGAGCTTGGAAATACCTTTCAAATGATGGGTCATACGTTAAAAAAGGTTAATTGGTTTAGTTGCAAAAGAATTTAAACCATTAAAAATAGCACTTCTTTAATTGTTTAATAACATTGTTAATAATTATCGAATTTGTTGATAACTTACCAGGAATGTTCTCCTTGCGTAGCTGAATAAATCCCAAAAAAAATTAACTAGATCGGAGAAATAGTTTATGCATAATTCCATTTGTTAACTAAAAACATGTAATTTTTCAACGAAATTTCCCCAGTTATGGTCCATCGAATTTCGATTTTTTTTTTGGAAAGTACACTTAAGAAGTCAAACTTTCATCCTATTTAAA